TCCCCTCTGGTATCACTAATCTCACTGCCCACTCCTAGGGTTGTGGTTGCTTTGCTCTCCCCTCCTCCTTCACATTTCCAGTCACTCCCAGCAGGCATCCCCCTTTAGCCCAGAGTTTGCTGCTGGTCCCTGAAAAACACTGCAAGACATTGGCAGCTTGGTGCTTCTCACATGTCCTTGTGTCATCCTGGGCCAGCAGCTCCCACTGCCCCAGCCTCTCCACCTCTCACAGCATTCCATCCCTCTCCCTGAAGGAGGTCACTGTGCCCTGAACCACACACAGCCCCTCAAGAAGAAAAGCTTGGCTTGGGAAGGGAGAGGGGAGCGCTGAGCCCCCCCGGCAGCTGCTGCATCCCCATCCCCCCTGCCAGCCAGGCTGCAGGCTCTGCTGCAGAAACTCCCCAGGGCTCTGGGATGGCAGCAGCCACTAAATAATCTGTCAGGTCTTTTGCATGAACTGGGGTGGCCAGTGGCCAGCAGGCTGGTGTGGAGCAGAGCCTGGTGAGCGGGGAGTGAATATGCACCCACTGGGGAGATTTTCTGAGCCAGTGGCCACTGTGAAATGTGCCAAACTTCACATTAACCCAGTGATAGATGTCTGCAGGCACATCAAACCAACAAAACCCCTCCTTGGCCCATGAGGAAGCAAAGGCAGCAGCTGATTTGGATTTCCTCTGAAATAATGCAACTCCAGACAAGGACACATTTGAAAAACAAGCAGTTCCCAATGGCTTTTATCAAAAAAACAAGGAATCATTAAGGTTGGAAAAGACCTCTAAGATCATTGAGTCCAACCAATAACTCAGACCTGCGAGGTTCACCACTAAACCATGTCCCCAAATGCCATGTTGAGATTTAGGAACAAAGATAGCACAGTTAGAACCATGCCCAGCCACCAGCCATCTGGAAAACAGCTCTCACTTTTGTCACACCCAGCGTGTGTCAGTGCACTGTGAGGTGGGAGCAGCTGTGGTGCACTCCAATCTGACCCAGGGCCATGTGGAGGGGATGGTCAGCACAGAGAAAAGTAGCAACTTCAGCATCCATTTGTGGGTGCAGCATCCCATGGCAGTGCTGGGAATGGAAATCTCTCAGAAGCCAAAGCCTGGGCTCACCGGTGAGTTGGGAACCAAGGAAGCTAGGCACATTAGGCTGTTCCATCTAAGAAATGTTCCAGATGTTCGTATCTCTCTGCTTTGTGTTGTGCTCTGCCAAACCTCCCTCCCTGAGGAATGCATAGGGAGGAGAAATGCAGGCGACAGCAGCTCTTTGTGGTTTGCATAAGCTTCTACCCCTCTGTCTGGACAGGAAATCAGTGACTTTTGGGAGTTAGCTCAATGCTGCCCAGGGAAATTCTGAGTATGGTTAGGGGCAGTGAAAATCCACAAAGCTGTCCTCAGCTGGGGTGGCAGCAACGGGCTGTGCTCAAGGAGGCCTCTGTGAGCTTCCCACAACCTTCCAGGGAGCATCCCCAGCTCCCAGCAAAGAGTCAGCATCCTTCACTCTCCTTCCTTTTGCTGTTTGCTGATGAATCACTCCCGGATCCTTAAGAAACTTCCATGAGTCCCACACAGAGGCTGGAGTTTCTGCAGCACTTCCCACTGCTAAGGAGAATCCACATGAGAAAGCTCATGCTGGGGTCTGTTCCTTTGGTGCTGGGGGTGTCAGAAAGGGGGTATCCACTGGCACAGGGCTGAAGACCCCTCTTTCCACTTGGGATGGGACAAGCAGCTCACACCAGGGATGCACCAGAGGTGTGTAACACACCTGATTCTTGGCAATACATTACTGCAAAGTCCAAGGTGGACAATGCTGAAATGAAGTGTCATCTCCCATGGACCATTCCTGACTGCCCAGGACTCACAGCTGCCTATGGAGGACCTGGATTTTGGGGCTGCATGGAGGAACAGCGCTCCCCACACAGTGCAGGCAGGTCTGGCCAACAGGAGAGCAGGATGCTGCTGAGGGTTTTGAAAGCACAAGGTGTCAGAGCAACCACCAAGAGCCAGGACCAGCACCCCACAGCCAGGACCAACACCAAGTGCTCGTCCCTGGCACCAGGACTCAGGATTAACACCCAGTGCCACCCCCAGTGCCAGCCCTCAGTACAAGCCCTGGCACGCAATGCTGACTCCCAGCGCAAAAGTGCTGATATTCTACACCATCCACAGAACGAAGACCCTGTACCACCAACAGTGGATGAGGCACTGGTGTCCCAAATTTTGGTCCAATGAAACCAGTTTAGGGTTTGACCCATTCATGCACAGACTCCCAGTTTCTCATCCCTGACAAAGGAGAAGGAATTCATTAGATCCATAAGGAAGGGAAAGGTGCTGGGGGTGGGCAGGAGTCCCCCAGTTGCCTGGGGCCGGGCAGGGCTAAGGCACCTCCTGCACGTGGCACAATGAGCCAAGAGCTGCTCCCCCCAACAGGCTGAGCACATCCTCCCACGCCTGCCCGGCTGCACGGACGGCTCTCCGGAGGAGCCGAGCTCACGCAACAACCCTTCTTCAGGCACTCGAGCTGCTGCCTTCAGAGCTTTATGAATATTGTAGCAAGGCCATTCCTTTCATCTCTGCTTCTTTCCAGGGAGCCCCAAACCTTCTGCACATTCATTTCCACCTCACTATTCCTCTTAATTATTTAAACTCGCCTTCCCAAAAGTGGAGCCCTTCCATTATCTCTCCTTCCTCTGAAGCGCATGTGGAATTCGGGGACTTGCAAATCCACTCAACTTCTTCCCATTCGTGCAGAGCAGAAGGTTTCCTCAGGCTCGCCCCATTGCTCCCTTCCAGCCTGGCCCCAGGCCACATTCACAGAGGCCTCAGCCACGGAAACCTCAGAGCCACGGCAGAGCACAGCAGCTTTTTACTGGGGGCCTGAACGCTGAGGATCTTCCCCAGGTGCCTTTGATCATTTCCATGGCTCTTCCTGGTGGTTCTCCCCCAGATCTGTGTGCAGGGCCAGATGTCCCTGCACTGCAGCTGTACTGACATGGCTCATGCTAGAAAAATCCCTCACTGCTCCATGCCCAGCCTCTGCAAAGCTGAAAGTACCCGTGAGAGCTCCCTGCAGGGCAGAGCCCTCCCTGGCCCTCTAAGGAGACATAGTTAATTGCCTTTTAACATAGGAACACCAAGCCCAGCTCCCCAAATACCTAAAGTTAAAGCCTAAAGTTAAAATGCTCAAACACTGTTGGAGAAGTGCAGTTTTCAATAAAATAGATGCACGTTAACACCTTTTCTGTCTTGAAAGGTGGCAGCTGCATTTGAGCACCGCCACATATCTCTTACTGCTGGCCCAGCTCCCAGCTCCCCGTGCTGCTGGGATCCTGCCACAGCTGAAGAGGGAGGCTCTGGTGGAGCTCTGGGGGTGCTGGCAGGACACAGGAGCTGGAGAAGGGGGTGACTCAGACAGCTTTGACACATCTCGATCTCCTGTCATGCCTGAACCTGCTGGGTGCTCCGCAGCCAGGGCTTTGTGCCTGCAGCAGCCCTGCCCACGCTGTGCCGTGCTTGGGTGGGAGCAGTGTGACAAGAACACGTGCTGGAGCAAGAGACCCCTGGGCACTGCACTTTTCCCCATCCTGCCATTGGTGTGCCGTTCTCTGGTTATCCCATACCCTACGGGTCTCTTGGTTGGGCTCATCTTTCCTGAGGCCACTGTGGGAGGATTGGGGTTTTCTCACCCCGCTGAAGGGGAGAAAGGTGCTGAGGAAGTGCAGTGGGCCCTCACGGACACCTGGTCACCTCCACCAGCCATTCCTGTTACTACTATTTGTTTATGCATTTATTGGTACCCAGCTGCAGACTGAAAATGGGGTGGGAGCTCCAAGGGGACACTGGTGTGAGGGGCTGCCAGACCCCCGGCCTCCAGCACCACCAGCAGCATCAGCCAAGAAGGGGGAACCGCACTCTGAGCAGCTCCCAGCTCCATAACCCTCCAAAACCCTCTAACAGAGGTGCATGCAACTCCTCCGAGGCTGTGTCAGCAATGTCCTGGGTGGGAATTGTCCCTGTGGCATCGCTGACTGGCGACCCTGTGGCAGCAGCCCTTAGGAGGCCCATCCCTTCCCAAGCACCCTGACTTGGTTGGTGGCTGGTCCCCAGCAGTGGGACCCTTCACCCGCTGTGGCCAGGCCAACACTCACCTCCATGCACCACTCCCTGAATTAATCATCAGCCCCACTCCGTGCTCGACTCCTCACTTAAAGAGATTTTTACACATTAAAAATTCACAGCACTAAATGATTGATGGCTGAGGCCCCCTGCACCTCTGAGGAAGAGCTCAGGCTGCTCCAGCTCCACTTTCCACCAGGACTCCAGCGTGTCCTTGTCCCCAGCCATCCCCAGTGCTGCACCGGGCATCACTGGGGGAAAAACCAGCATGGCAGTGACCCCAAAAAAAGGCACCATTAGCTCTCTAGAGCTGCTGGTGGTGTGCTGAAGGTGTTTTAGGTGCTGGAGCATCTCCAGACCCCTGGGATGTGCCTGTTGTGGCCAACACCAGTGGGAACGAGATGCTCTACTCCTGTGTGGGGTCTTGGGAGGGTCTCAGGGGAGCTGTTTGCCAGCCTGAGCAGCACAGAGGAGGGCTGCAGGCTTAAGTGAGAGTTGTAATGGAGGCCTTCTGTTCTCTCCTCCTATCACTCCATCTCTCATCCCAAGACATGGCAGGTGATTGGGAGCAGCCATTGAGGGGCTGCATAGGTCAGGGGAGACAGGGGGAAGAAAAAACCTTTGTGCTGACCTGGGCTGCGTGGGCTCTTGTCTGTCCCGTCACTGTCCCCAGCAGTAACAAGCTCTCACCCCACCTCCCCAGAGCCTTGCTGCTTCCTACCCCCAGCCAATGCCCACACCACAGGCACCTGCCCTGACACCCTCCAGCACCGACCTCCTAAACTCATCCCCTAAACCCATCCCCAGCACCCACCCCCTACACTCATCCCCTAAACCCATCCCAAAGCCCATCCCCTAAACCCACCCCAGGCCCTCCCCGGTTCCCGGGACGGGAACGCCCCCTGCCGGTCACATCAGGGCAGGCAGGAGGGAACGTGGGGCTGCGACGAGGGGGGGCTGGGTGGGACTGGGCTGGAACCGAGCTGGGACTGGGTGGGACTGGGCCGGAACCGAGCTGGGACCAGGCTGGGACTGGGCTGGAACCGAGCTGGAACTGGGCTGGGACGGGGCTGGGACCCGGCTGCGACGAGGCTGAGACAGGCTGGGGACCTGGCTGGGACGGAGCTTCGGGAGTGCAGCTCGGGGTCAGGGCCACCCTGTCACCCCCTCATCCCATCACTCTGTAGTCCCATCACCCTGCCGGTGCCTCACCTTGCCACCCCACCACGGCTGTTGTCAACCTGTCACCCCATCACGGTTGCTCCCCCAGGTAGATGTGACTTGCTCCCAAAATTCCCCCAGCCCCAGCCCCAGCGGTTCACTCTGGGCAGACCCCGACGTGCTGCCCACCTCACCAGCGACCCCGGCACCTCTTTCTGCTGTCCCCCAGCCCCAGCTGTGCCGTGGTGCCCTGCTCCCCACCCCAGCCACCACTGCCTCCACTCCCCTCTGCCCGGTGGGTCTTGCTCACCCTCCTGTTCAGAGCTCGATGGGCTGCACCAGGTGCTCGGGCTTTGGCTCAGCACCGCCCGGAATCCTCATCTGTCTGCAGGGACACTTCCTTTTGCACTCCCCCCACACCCTGCCCGACCTTGACACCCAGGACCTGTGTTGCACCCCTCAAACACACACTGAATCATAAACAATTATCCCTCATTTCAGGTGTCTGGCCTTGTCTCAGAGCAGACGTGTCTGGAGCAGTGCTGGGGGCCGGAGCAGCAGTTCTGCCACCCACAGTAAGCCAGATGTCCCCAGGTGCCAGTAGCGCTGCAGGTGCTCCCTGCCGCGTGTCCAGTGCCTGGGGGACCGAATCACGCTGTTCCTCTTCTTTTCTTCCTCGGGGGAGAAGGTGCAGGTGCCACACGCCTGGCTGTTCCCCATGGGGCTGTCCCTGTCCCCGCAGTGTAGGTGGGCTCAGAAGAGCAAGTTCAGAGGTACCACCTACACTGTGCAGCATCTGCAAGAAAAACTCCCATAAATCGGACACTTTCCAGCTTCTCTCTGCTCACTGGCAAAGAAGGAACCAGCTGAATGCTGGCACCGGGCCAGCCTGGACACGCTGGGGCTCCTGGACAGAGTCTGGCAGGAGGGAGCTCCTGGAAGAGGTGGCGACGGATCCACACTTGAGGAGTGTGTTCCTGTCGTGAAGATGGAGGGGAAAGCTCCCAGCAGAGATCCGAGAGCAGAAAGCAGTGGCAGAAGGAGGATGCAGGCTCCGGCCCGCCCGGAGGCGGGCAGCGGGACGGGCGCTCCGCTCGGCCCCGCTCCACGGCTGCCCGCTCAAAGGGCCGATTGTGTGCCGGCAGCAGATGTGCCGCTTCGGGCGGCGGCACAGAGGGGCTTTTCTGCTCTTCTCAATGACAGATCTGTGCCGTTCCCGTCGGGAAGGTCCCGCTGCGCCCCCCGGCCCTTGGCAGATCCTCGGCAGCCGGGAAGCTGCCGGCCGCGGGGCGCCGGCCGGAGAAGGGCGCTCTGTGTGCCGGACGCGAGTGGCCTTTCCCGACTCCCTGGAAATGCCAAAAGGGAGCCGGACGCCGTCAGCCCGAGGGCTCTGCGGCGGGGGGAGTGAAGCTGGGGCAGGGAGAGTGGAGGCCTGAAAACAGCTGGAAATAACTCCCCAGGGGAAAACCGTGCAGGGCAGAGAGGCATCTGCTGGGTAGGCAATTCCCTCTTTGTCCTAAGGACTCAGCCGGCAACTTTGCTGGGTGCTAGAGGACAGAGAGCACAGAAGGGATTTGGGGGCTGGTTTGTGCTCACGATGCACAGCCAGCTCCATTCTGCTCTGCAGGGTGAAGGGTCGAGCTGGAAATCAGTGGGTGGAGCTGAGACCACATCACCCACCAGGTGATGGCGCATCCTTGTCCCCACGCAGACCAGTGTCCCCGCCGAGCACCAGGGGCTGGGGATGTCAGGGCTGCTGCTCCTGAGCATTTTCCACAGAGGACAGGGCTGCAGCTGGGACCCCACCCTACTGTGGGACCGAAGTCACAGGAATTCACAGGGGCAGGTGTCCCCCTTTCCAGGAGTCACCCCTTTTGGGGACAATCAGCTCGGGCACCTATTTTCAAAACCCATTTTAGAGCCTACTGGCTACAGGAGGACATGAGGGCCCAGAGTCCCTAAAGGAAAATGGCCATTTGGAAGGAGTGTAGTGTTTCAGCCAAGATTACAGCTCTTCAAGGCAAGCCAGGCTGCAAATGCGCCGTGCACAGCGTGATCCCAGCGCCGGAATGTCCCGCTGAGGGCTCCCACCGGCCGTCGGGGTGTGCTGGGGCCACACACGGCAGGACGCGCGGCCGGCGGGGCTGGCCCGCGGCCAGAGCAAAGCCGAGCTGCGGAAAGCCCGCACGGCATTTCCCTCGGCACTGATAAGGCTGAGCTGCAATCGCAGCCACAAAAAAAGCTGTCCCGGCCTTCCCCGGGCTAGCCAAAGGCTGTGCCAAGCACATCAAGGATTGCCCGAGATAAAAGCCCACGCCTGCTGTGCCGCACAGGCACAAAATGTCACCTGCGGCCGGCGAGATCAGAGGGGACACGGGCTGGGGGACAGGACACGAGGGCACCGTGCACCTGGACTAGGGCTGCTCCTGCAGGGCTGTGCTGGGGACAGGAGGGTCACAGACCTTAGTGGAAGGTAGCAGGAGGTGGCATGGAGCAGGAGGTCCCCAGGGAGAGGGTGTCATTGAGGGTGGTCTGTGTTTGGTGCAGGGGCCTCAGCATAGCCCCAACCTGGGTTCAAGGGGGTCTCCAGGAGGTGATGGGTGCTGGGAAATGGCAAGGCAGGAGGCTTTTGGCAACGAGTCTGTGTGGTGGTTTTCCTGCTGTCAGGGTTTGGCTTCCTCCAGTGGCTTCAGCTCAGCTGGGTCTGAGCACCATGTGTGCACCCACAGCTCCTTGGGGACCCTTCCCCAGATCCCACACTGCTGGGGAAGTGCCTCCAGCTCCACTCGGGCTCTTTGTTTTGCTGCAGCATCTCAGGAGGAAGGATCTGAGCAGAGAGGTGACGAGAGGAAACGAGCTTTCTGTTCACTCCCAAACCTGCAGGCAGAAAACAAGGACATCCTGCTGGGGTGGCTGGGCAGGGACGCTGTGCCTGTGGGGAGGGCAGATTGCTGGGCTGCGATGTTGCTGGCATTAACACCCTTTCCTACAGGGACTGGGCCTCACAGCTTTTGCCTCTGGTCTCACACCCTGCCCAGCCTGGCCAGCTCGCTCAGGGGGCCATGGAGGGGGTGGTGGAGCCAGGAGCCAAGCTCAGGCAGGCTTGGTGGAGCTGGAGCAAGCAGAGATGAAGTCAGGCAGCCAGGAGATGGCTGGAACACCTCTGATCATTTGTGTACCCAGAGCCATGGGCCACCACTGGCCAGTCTGGACACACAGAACTTTGGAGCCCACTGCCTTGAAAGGACCAAGATTCTCCTGCTGCCCATGGGGGAGACCAGGGTGCCCAGGGGTCAGGATCCCACTACCCAGGGAACAAAGAGAGTCATCCAGAGCTGCAGCAAGTGGAATGGCTCATGCTGCAGCACACAGAACTGCAGCCCTTTCCCACCAGCATCTACAGCAGCATTTCTCAGGGTGTCTCCATCCAGGAGCCATCTGAATAACACAGAATGACAGTAAATGCCTGCTTGTAGCCTGCCAAAAGCCTGGACAAGCTTTATGTGTTTTCTCATGCACCAGCACCACCCAATTCCTGTGCTGTGTGCAGAGGGACAGAGATGCAGCCTGCTCTGTCAGTCTGCAGTCACCTCCAGCTCCTGGGGCTCTGTTCCCAGCACATTGTGGAGAAGCACCCAGCTGTGCTGGTGTGAGTCACATGCACACAGGTGCACCCACATTTCCTACTGCTCTGATGGGAAATGAAGCATGATCATATTCACAGTCCCAGTAGGGACTGACAGAGAGAAAAGGTTTGGGACTCACAAGGAAAGTAATTTTTTGCTACCTTCTCTGGACCAAAAAAGCTTTTCAGTAGATCTGATTCTATGAAAACTCATCAGCTCCTGGAGCTTTTTATTCAGATGGACACTCTTATGAGGGTCAGGGCTGATTTCAGTGGCCTTTGTGAAGGAACAGCTGTGCCAGACCCAAAACTGATGTCATGAGTCAGCAGAGCCCCAGACAGCTGAATGACAACACTATCCCCAGGAAACCACCGAGGTTTTTTTGGCAGAACTGCCCCTACAAGAGGAACGCAAGCCTGGCTAGCCGTGCCCACCCCTCCATGCAGGGTTACGGGAGAGACGCTGAACACAAGAGCTTGGTCCCATACTGTGGAAGCCCCTGGTCCTTAGCTGTAGCCTTTCCCAGACTAAGCATCTGTGCATCTTTCACCCACATAGGCACCAGTGCTAACACCCCCAGCCTCACAGCTACACTTTGGTTAACCCAGACCTTGGCACAGGTGTGGGTGCGGCCGCTGCCATTTGCCTCCGAGCCTGGGTTCAGCTGCACGTGCTGGGCTGCGCCAGCCTGGCCCAGCAGGAGCCACAGCTCGAGCAGGTCCTGGCTCGGCGTCCCTGGTGTGGGGTGAAGCCACCGCACTGGTGGCCAGCCGAGGCTGCAGAAGCACTTTGCTCCATGTGATCTGCTCTTGGATGCAGATGAGATTTACATGGGGTGTGAACACCAACCAGCCCAGGTGAGTTCTCTGGCCATGGCCTCATATTTGAGTCCCACATAGTTTCTGCAGAAAACAATGAATACTAGAAACAGTGACTGTCCCTTGGGTTTGATTCTTCTCAGTGACTAGAACTTAAAGCCAGAGGAGTCTGATCCCTGCAGAGAGCAATGCCATCCCTCTTGTTCAAAGGCTGCTGGTGAGTCTCAGCCTGGAAATATCTCTGAGCTGCCACAGTTTTGTGATCCAGCACCACATTCAGGCAGCCCCAGGGCTGTATTTCTTTGGTGATGCTGGGTTGTTTGTGGTCTCCTCAGTCTTCCACAGCTCAGCCCTCATGCTGCGGTAGCAGCAGTCATGTGGGGGTCTGGCACCCACAGAGCTGCAGTGACATCACTTTCCCAAGCTCATGTTTCCTCAACTCCTCCTTTGTTGTTTTTTTCCCTTTGCAGGGAGGAAACTAGAATTGCTGCCTGGAGGTGGGTGACATTTTTGTCAGATGTCCAAGAGCAGAAGTGAGGGACCTGGATGTGGGCCCATCATGGACCTTTGAGCCGGGATGTGGGGCATGAGCTCCACAGCCCAGCTGGGCACTGCTGGGACCTGGCTCATTGCCCCAGACTTCACCTTTCCTGACCTGGACAGAGAAGGTAAAACCACACTGTGCAGGGGACCCAAACGATTTCTTCTCCAAGCAGTCAGTGAATCAGCAAGAGTGGTGCTATTCCAGACCTGCTTTGGAGACCAATTGAGGGCGTGAAATCACCAAGTTCATTACCACAGAATGCTGGGGAGGCCAACTATGCAAATGGATTGGAAAGGGATGAGGTCTGTCAGTGGAGGTAGATTCATTAGAGCTATTAAGGTACTTCCGTCCGGATGCAAACCCTTTCCCAGGAAGTCCCCAAACTGCCTGCCAGCAGCTGGGAGGGACGCCGGGAAGCACATCTTGTTTCTCCTGCTCTTCCCGTGAGTAGTTACAGAAGTGCCAGCTATGGAAAAATACCCGTGAAGTTCAGAGCTGAAAAGGAAAGAAAAAGAAACAAAAATCTTTGCTGAGGGTTTCAGCGCTGAAAAGGTCTGCAGCAGTTAGTGAGGGCAAGCTCTAAGGTGGGGAATGGCCGGGGTCCTTACAGGATGTGGGGAGAGCCCAGAGCTCGCGGCTCAGCGACCAGCACGGGAAGCAGGCGGGGAAGAAAGCTGGCAAGAAAAGGAGACAGACAGCCGCTGCTGGGACAGGGAGGGCTGCCAGGAACCCAGCGGGGCCAGGCCCGGGGAGCCCAGCCAGGCCCAGAGGCACATTGCTCCCGGCCCTGGATGGGACGAGGGCAAGATGTGCGAGGGTGGCTGTGCTGGGGGAGCACGGTGCTGCAGGAGCGGGACCCCAGGCACCCGCCGGGCCCCGAGCAGCACCGGGGCTGAGCTCAGGACAGAGGGTATCCCAGCATCGGGGTGATGTGAGCAGGGGATCCCCCTTTCTGCAGGGTGACCACCCGCGATGTGGACAGGTCAGGGAGAATCCCGTCCCAGGGTGACTGCAGTAGGCGCACCCCATCCCCAGGGTAATCAGGACAGGGGACCTGGGGTGACAAGGGTAGGGGACACCCCTCCTCCAGGTGACAGGAACGGGGCACATCCCACCCCGGGCGACCAGGGGGACAGCGATATCCCCTCCCCAGGCGGGGAGGGAGATAGCGGGGATGCAGCGGGGCGAGCGGCCGGGGGCGGTACCCGTCCCGTCGGGCCCG